CCTTTCACTCCTCGTACATAGTCTGTTGTCTGATTTTGACTTTTCTGGAGAAGACCGTCTTTGCGCGTTCTGGTTTTTTAAGTATTGGGAAAATGCTTTGTACTTTCCAATTATTGTGCCATGTGAAAGTACGCTTTTGAGGCAGTTTGATCTAAAGCCGGGGTTTTGGGACGATTCGGTGTGTCGGTGAAGTCCTTGTAAAAATCCGTCAGAATTGGTATCCAGAATTGTATAAGTTTGAAAAAAGAAACAAATTTTTTCATCAGTAAAAGGGTTTTGCCAAACTGAAATCTATTCGAAATGCATATTTAGGCTTGTGGATTTTTATCTGATACTTGTGAAGCTTTCCCCAGCAGAAGCGGAACGATCAAAGTACTGCGATAAATTTCTAGAACTGACTGAGAAAACAAATGTTTCAAAAATAAGGTAAATTTTTACACATTTTTCGACTGCTCCTTCATGCACGCCCTCTTTCACAGGCAGTGCTGCCAGCAACTCCCCTATGTTTTTATTCTTTTCTTTTTATTTTATCCATTTGAAACCATTCACCACCGTTTGCAAAATTCCATGTTTTCTGTGGACATTGCGAGGGTACCCTTCTGTGATTCGCTTCGTTCTTCTGTTGTATCTCATTCCTTCCCCTTGACCAGTTGAACTTTCATTTTGGCTTCTCTATATGCGGCTGCAAAAATCAAGAAATGTGCCCTGCACAAGAGTTCAAGCCTCTTATTTTAGCAGATTACAACATTATTAGGTAATTTCTTGGAAGTATCACATTCAGAATGATACCATTCGGTAAGCTGCTTCTGTTTCATCGTCGTTTGCTTATGTACATGAAAACTTTTCCGTTTTTGGTCTGACTGATACGCTTTCCTGGAGTTGCAGCGTCCAACTTAAGGTCCCATATTTTCTCGTGCGATCGCATTTGCGGGGAATTTTTGTTAACATATCAATAATTTGAGGTATGTTCAATTACCGTCATACGTCAATTATAAAGACAGCAAATTGCAGGTTAGAATCGAAATTCAAGCAGTTTCCGGTAGTTTCGTTCGGCTTTACCTCATCTCTACCTCTCCTCACAGCCACACCTGGTGGAGCAGTGCAGCTGGATGTGAAAATTATCAATCATCTTCCGAAAACATTGAAAAATCTCAAGTTGCATTGTTGTTTTAAGCTGTGTGCGCAAGACGGCTTGCGGAAGCCAGTTGCTGGGCGATTACCGCATTTTGAATGCATGCATAGTGTAAGTGAATTTCGTTTTTTTTTCTTTTTTTGGTCATTTGGAAAATAGCTTGAGCCCTGCAGTTTTTAATGAATTACCAGGAACATCAGTGCAGGGAACAGAGGTCAGTGGTATTACTGGGATGCGTTTATTTTGTTTTGGGAAATAATCCAGTTTTTTCCCCTCACCCTTCCCTTGCCTCCTGAGCATCCATTTATTGGATGCAAACAAATGCCAAATTCATTCCCTCCTTCCCCCGCCTTCCCTCCCTTCCCTCCCCCCCGCTCCCCATCTCCTAGGTGTATTTTAGTGATAGCCCACTAGTACTGATTTCTACTGCATCGCTTTACCGCTGTTCCAATTTCTTTTCCTTCACATGCACTTTTTGAAACTTTTACCCATAAATGGGCTTAATTTGTGATCTTGATGCGTTTATTGTATTCGAGGAATGCGCTGTTTTTATTTCTTCAGGAATCCGATGGTATCAATCGTTTTACATGCGTTTGGAAAGGTGACATTACAGTTCGTCGGGAATCAGTCCAGGGCTTCGTTGGTCTGGAATCGTTAAGTGAATCTCAAAGTAATATGTTCTTTCGTAGTTTGCACGCAGATGAACTGTCTCCCGGCGAGAATATTGTAACATTAGCAGCAGCAGCAGTACGTTTTTGCCTTTTATCGTAAAACAGTTTCATACTTTTTTGTTTTTCATTTCAGTTACTAGCCACAGCAAGGCTTGGACCTCTCCTCGTTTCACTTTCTTTATGTTTTACCATATCGCAAGGGAGAATGCTAAAATCGTCTACTTAGTGTGAAAGAAAAGTGAAGAAGTTGTATCGAATGGCGCGGAACTTAACCAGAAAGGCCCAAAAATCAACCGTATTTTTTGTCATGACTTTGCTGGTGATTTTTGCCGACAATTTTATCGTTAAGAAAAACTGTGCTCACAGAGGAGTTTTATTTGCTTATCTTTTTCGAAATTTTTATATTTTTTGTTAAATTCTAATTTTTTCATAAAGTGAATGTATAACTGACTTTCCGTCTGAGATTTTGCAGGCTCCAGAAGTTGGTGTATATTTTTTTGATTTTTTTGAACTGGAAATTGGTCGCTCATTAATAGTACGTTGCGATTGGGTCGATCTGCCAGAAATTGAAATCGATTTAGCTCGCCGTCCAGTCTGTTTCATCCATCGTAAACCTGTTTCTGTGAAGCTGAAACCGTCAACAAGTGAGTAGCAAACTGTAGAATTTCCTAATGAAAGAAATAACTGAAAAATTTGTGGAGTCTTGTAATTTCTGAACCTAGTAGAAAGCGTACTGGCTGCCGGTACGAGGATGCGTTTTTTGCGCAGTTCCCCCCGCAAGTTTTTTTCGCCAGCGGCGCGTTCTTCCTGGCAGATGCTTCCAGCTAAAAGAATTGGGACTGGCCA